TACTGTTACCTCTTTTAAATTATAAAATTAGTGTGTGAGACATTATAATGGTTAAGACACATCATTTTTGCTTATATTCTAAATGGGTCAAATTCTGAGAAAAACATTTATTTTTCTAGACAGGCCTAACATTTATTGAGTTTATTAGTGTCTTGTTTACATTTTATAAGCGCATGTTTAAACTGAAATATCCATAACTACTGGTTGTCATTAACAGTAAGAAATAATTTTGAATATGCAATGTGAATTCCACAATTTCACAACAGTTCAGCTTTTGCTAAATGTAACTACTGAGGTACAAAAGAAACAAACTCCTAATTTGATATGCTGGTCTTAGGTTTTTTTTTTTCACCCCCCCTGAGGTAGGGTCTTGCTGTCACCTAGGCTGGAGTGCAGTGGTGCCACCTTGGCTCACTGCAATCTCTGCATCCCAGGTTTAAGCAATTCTCCTGCCTCAGCCCCACCGAGTAGCTGGGACTACAGGCATATGCCACCACTCCGGGTAATTTTTGTATTTTTAGTAGAGATGGTGTCTTGCCATGCTGCCCAGGCTGGTCTGGAGCTCCGGAGCTCAGGTGATCTGCCAGCTTTGGCCTCCCAAAGTGCTGGGATTACAGGCATGAGCCACCGCGACAGGCCAGATTTCTATTTTTAAGCAAATTCTGACTAGTACACGTATTTTAGAAGTTATTTTTTTTACTCTCCTGCTCAGAATACTTCATGACCTCCCTTGCTTCAAATTGCTTTTTTCACTATGAAAAGGTATCCTTGGGGATGACATGAAGATATGGTACAGGAGGTAGCCAGAGTAAGCAAGATGTGTCTTCCTATATCCTCAGTCTTGAGGAAAACTAAATTCTAACCTTAGGTATTTTTATATTACAATACTATAAAACATTATAAAGTTAGTGGGATTTTTTTGATAAAACTCAAATTTGAAGAAAATATTTCTGAGTCAGAGCATAGCACTTAATCTCTTCTCTAGAGGTAAACATAATCTTTCTAGTCCCTGGCACAGTAATGAACTGGATTAAGAAATAAATTCACTAATCCAAATATGCAACTAGAAGGCAATATAAGGCTAGTAACAAATGCCTTTGGATGATGAAAATACGATTTTTAAATAAAATTTTTTTTGCTCTTCCTGAGGTTTCTGTGTCTACATAGTACTTTTATGCTAAGGAAAATCAAACTTAACAGAAAAATCCTTAATTTTTAGATGTGCAACTTTCACTGCATTATCAAATCTTTATAAAAGAAACCAGATTTGTATTTCTTTACTAATATAGTTTCAAATTAAAAGAGATTTAAATACCCCCTTTCTTACACTTACCTGTGTCTGAGGTTTTAAGGGCTTGAAGAGTGGGGAAATGACAGTGAAATCTCTCAATCATGAACTCAAGAAGGAATTCTTGAATTCCTTTTCAATATTGCTTTGAGAATTTAGAGCAAGCTGTTCCTCTGAAGCTGATTTTAAACTTATCTGATTTTGAAATTTTTCTTCCATTACAGTTAATTCTTCATTACCTTGTCTAAAGTTCCCGAACACAGTAGGATTCCCTTTTATAGATTTCCAAAGTTAATCATTATGTGGAGGTAAGGTTGCTTCAAATAAATACTTTTATTTTTCAAGAATTTCTCTCTCCTTTTCAAAAAACAAACTCTGCCCATCACAAAAATCATACATGCTTATTTATAATCAAGACGATCCCTCCCACCCCAATAAGATTTACCTCTTACCCAAAGTAAACCAGTAAAATAATTTAGCATGTTATTATTCTAGTGAATCTATTCAAACTATTTGATAATCTTTTACTTAATAATAAACAACTTTTTAGCTCATTATTCAATTGCTATTTTAAATAGCTGCACGGTATCCTACTAAACATGTTATTCAATCAACCCTTTATTATTGAATGCTTAATAAACAATACCATCACAAAGACATGGATTAATTCTTTAAAAAGTGTATTTGTTAATTGCTTTTACAATATTGGAAAATTGAAATAATTATTCTTTTAATGTTAATAAATCTTAAGAATATATTGCAACTGGTTGATACATAACTATTTGAAGAATTTAAAAAGTCAACTATATAACGTGTCAGCATAAAATTAATATCTGAACCTTAGGACTGATGTTTAGGCTACTGTTCTGAAGTTTCTTAAATTAAAAAAATTTTTTTTCATATTGCTAATACATTTAAAAGGTTAACCTATATGAGTAAATGAGAAACAATGAAAGAAGTGTTATGTATCTCAGTGTGTGAAGGCAGAGAAAAAGGTTAAGAACTACAGGTATAATATGTTCATACCATGGAAGGATGGTTAATGTCAGTCTGTTAAGGTCAATAAACAGTATACATGAGAAATTTTGCCTTATTAACAAAAATGTGCAGGCATTAGTTGGGGGAGAACTGTAGTAAAGAAATGGCATAAAGGCAAAGAGAAAGAAAAACTAGCGGATTAGGACTAGTTAGTTCATCTGAAGAATAATCAGCATAGAAAATGTTAGGACAAAATCACAAGGTATCAAAGTAAGCAATTTAAATGTTACACCCTAGGAAAAAAAACAGTGCTTTGGGAAGATTAAAAAAGTAATATATACTATATGGAAAATGAAATTGTTAGTTCAAAACAGCTAGAGGCAAATAACTAGTTAAAATGCCGCTAAATAGAAATAAGTGAAAAACAATGAAGTACTTATAGTAGAAATTTCAAGGATGAAGAAATCAAAGACCATTATGGTTCATTTGGGTATATGATAAACATGAGCAAATTCAGTGTATCTCTTGGAGTCATTAGTCTTGGCTCCACCTAAACTGATCACGCAGAAAACCATTTCAAAGCCATCAATGCACAATTCTCAAAGTCCTGATCACACACACATACCTATTCACTATCCGTTTAAACATTCTGTTTGTATTCTAGTCTGATGGAGGCTCTAATGTTGAATCAGACTCATAAAAATATTGTCCTATCTGCAGAGGTCAAATAGGCTGAGGCACATATGCCTGTCAAGAGTGTCGTAAAGAAGTATGAAAAGCTGTGCTGGGCAGGGTGGCTCATGCCTGTAATCCCAGCACTTTAGGAGGCTGAGGTAGGTGGATCACAAGGTCAGGAGTTTGAGACTAGCTTGGCCAATATGGTGAAACCCCATCTCTACTAAAAATACAAAAATTAGCCAGGTGTGGTGGCAGGCGCCTGCAATCCCAGTTATTCAGGAGGCTGAAGCAAGAAAATTGCTTGAACTGGGGAGGTGGAGGTTGCAGTGAGCTGAGATCACATCATTGCACTCCACCCTGGGCGACAGAGTGAGACTGAATCAAAAAAAAAAAAAAGAGAAAAGAGAAATGAAATCTGTAGATCAAGGTAAAAGCTTTAACAGCTATAAGATAAGGCCCCTATCAACTCTCTGATCCTATTAACTACTATTCCTCTTTACATGTGGTCACAGCCACACATGCTTTCTTGCTGTTCCATGTACAAAAAATGCTTCAGCCTCAGGGTCTTTGTATTTGTTATTTCATCTGCTCAGGTACCTACGTGGTTTGCTCCCTTATTGTTTCTAGGTGTTTGTTCAAATGCCATCTCTGTAGAGTATTTCCTACCCATAATATTTAAAAATACATCTCTCCTGCCTTCCAGACACCTTTATCACGTAATTGCCACTTTCCCTGCTTTATTTTTGCCACAGAACTTACACTCTCTGACATACCAAATATAGTAACTATCAGTTTTTTTGTCCATTCCATCACTCACTCCTCTACCCGCAAGATTAGTAAGCTCCATGGAGGCTGGGATATATCTTTTTTATTCAGTGACAATCTTCAACACCTTAACAGTAAATAAATGTGTATCTCTCTATATATAAATGTTTCAAATCTATTTTTAATGTTGCTTGTCAAACATTAACATTTTCACACTTCTAGAAATGACATTAATAAAAATATAAACAAATTGATATAAAAATCTGTATAGACTCAGCTAGAATTTACGAACTCTTAATAAAAGATGTATTTAAGCTTTCTCAACTATGGGACAACAAATACTAGACTTCATTGCTTAATACTAAAAATGGCATTTTTGACTATTCACATGGAAACTTAAAAAAACTACCCTATAGTTATTATCATAGGAATTCAGTTCAAGGAGGAAAAAAGTTTTAGTGGTACTATGAGAACCTGTATCTCTGAAAATGTTAGCTCTATAAATGTAAGCACTCCCAAAGATTATAATAAAATGTGGAAACAGGCAAACTATGGGGTGATTTCAAGTTGTTACCACTTCCTTAAGATTTTCTTTAATAGAATCATTCATGCTAAGTGGATAAAAGTTACAAATTACAAAAAAAAGACACAGAATACATCCAATAAGAAATTAATCATACTGAGGAATATTTAGTGTAGAACTGGCCTAAAATTTTTTTTCCAGCAGAATTTCTCAACATCTAACACTATAGCAAATAATACAAATAAGATTCTTCAAGCAGTTGGCATTTCTTCAAAACACAAGGGTCCAATTACAATATCCTGTTGTTCAAAGTCCCACAGAATTAGAGAAGAATCTGTACTACTCAATGTTTTTGCATAAATTCCCTGATTTATAAAAATAAACCCAAATATAAATTATGAATATTTAATTTCAATATAAACAAAAACAGCAGCTAACTTGTCATGTTTCATAGTAATTTTAGCATAAAACATTTAAACATTTATTTTGCCAATATATTTTTCATTGCATATAGGCTTAAAAAAAAAGAAAGACATCAGAAATACCTGCAATGTATTTTATATGCAAAGGAGATAAGAACATAAAGTTAAATTTCCAGTGGAGGAGTTAGTTTTTCCATATAAGTGTTCAAGTTATTAGTAATAAAATGGAAGTTATAAGTAATCCCTTGACATATGTAAAACAAAATTTTTTAGTAGATAGGAATGTATTGATGATAGCCTCTTATTTCTTCTCCCAGATATGCAAGTGATAGATCTAAATACTTACTAGAGCCAAATCTATCTCAAAAGTTTAGGTCATTTTTTTTCCTTTTTGATAGTATTCAATGAGAAATAACACTTAAAATAAAACTTTTTCCATGAGGAAGGTACAGTAATTATCCACCTGCAAAAGGAAAAAAAAAAAATTTGATTTAGAATGTCAACTTCTAAATATATTAATATATTAATTTAGAGAAAGAATAGTTTATGAAAGTATAATCTTGCTAATTTTAGTAGGGCTAACTGGTACATGTATCAGTAACAACATTTAGTGGCTTAAAAAACACCTATAACTCTGAATTAATCAAAAAGATACATAACTGGGCCGGGCGTGGTGGCTCAAGCCTGTAATCCCAGTACTTTGGGAGGCCGAGGCGGGTGGATCACGAGGTCGAGAGATCGAGACCATCCTGGTCAACGTGGTGAAACCCCGTCTCTACTAAAAATACAAAAAATTAGCTGGGCATAGTGGCGTGTGCCTGTAATCCCAGCTACTCGGGAGGCTGAGGCAGGAGAATTGCTTGAACCCAGGAGGCGGAGGTTGCGGTGAGCCGAGATCGCGCCATTGCACTCCAGCCTGGGTAACAAGAGCGAAACTCCATCTCAAAAACAAAAACAAAAACAAAAACAAAAAAGATACATAACTGAAGAAAATCTTTAATATTAAATATGGAATTTGGTCTATGGCTAGGTCAAGTTTTCAAATCTATTATCACATATTAATCCGTGCCATCTGGAGAGATTTGTCTTTGAATATAAGATGCAAATAGAATGACTGAAATACATTTCTTGCTACCTCCTGGACACTCTCCTGCAGTCCTCTGAGTAAGCTCCAAACTCAATCCATACTCCAAGTAACAGACTTAAGATGTTCAATACTGAAATTCTTTGGCATCAATTTAAAAAGAAACCTAAATGAAAAAGATTAGTATTTTTTCCAAATAAGAAAAAATGAAAACTTTATACCCATATATAACTATGTATGGTTTTTTTGCAAAACAAGAAGCCAAAATAAGATGAACACTGAAAGGTACAAACTTTCATTTTAGTACTGGCTCCTTATGTGTTTCAAAGTTACAACTCTATAAATAAAACATCCAGTCCTGTTGAGAGTTTCCTAAATGTTGTTTCATTAGATATCGACAGGTAACCTCCTCTTCTCTGAGAAGAGACTGGAAACTAAATAATATTTCAGTAAGTTTTAATGCAGGATTTTTCCTATATTCTCTTACTTCTCAAACATTTCAATTTTTCTTTAATCCACTGTCAGGATTAAAAACAAGAGAAGTTTTCATTTATCTATAAAAGCTCCAAATAATCCTTCTTCACATCTAGAGCACTTAATGATATAAACAATCATCTGGTAAATGGAAAAGGCAAATTTTTCTTGTCATTTAGAAGACAGATTGAATATAATTTTCTAAAACCTGACTTCAGCTACATTTAGGATACAAAAAAAAAAAGAAAGAAAACATAAGAAAGAAAGAAACAAGGAAAGAAAAAGAAAAAGGAAACAAAAACACGTAACTCCTGGGTTGTTCTGAAAACAGTATTCGGTAAACTGTGTCATTCATTCAATAAATATTCTAAGCATCTGTGTTAGGTCCTGGAATATTTTTAGTGGAACCAAAAGTTATATATTTGGTGCAATCTTTCATGCAAAGATTGAAATGAAATGAAGAAAACAAGTTAAGAGCTTGATAAATGATTTTTAAAAGCACCAAGGCAGTATTTCCATGTAAATGCTGGCATTTAGTTCTATCCACTATATATGGTATATTGGGAACAAAATGTTGCTGGGTAAAAAGTGACTGTTTTAAAAAATGACAGCTTTGTTTTATATAATATTTTATCTTCAAATTAGAATTTAAACAAAAAGGTCCTTTAGCTTTCAAATACAATGTTTTGTTTTGAGACAGTCTCACTCTGTCACCAGGCTAAGTGCAGAGGCACATCTTCGCTCAGTGCAACCTCTGTCTCCCAGGTTCAAGAGATTCTGCTGCCTCAGCAACCCATGTAGCTGGGATTACAGGTACCCGCTGCCTTACCCAGCTAATTTTTGCATTTTTAGTAGAGAAAGGGTTTTGTCATGTTGGCCAGGCTGGTCTCAAACTCTTGATCTCAGATGATCCACCACCCGCCTTGGCCTCCCAAAGTGCTAAGATTACAGGCGTAAGCTGCCACTCCCAGCCTCAAATACAGTTTCTTAAATTATAACTAAAATACTTCAGGAGTTTCCAAAATAGACAATTATAATTGGGAAGGATTAATTAACAACTGTTTTTATTTTGTAGGTTTTCTGCATGGTTACAATTGAAAACTCTAAGACACTCCTTGTAGAAAATAACACAGAGTTATGGTACACTACACAAACATACTCATCTTATCCTGAACATCATTTTTAAATTTAATGACTTCCTCCACCTCTCCGATTCAAGTGATTCTCCTGCCTCAGCTTCCTGAGTATCTGGGATTACAGGCGCCTGCCACCAACCACATCTGGCTAAATTTTTATTTCTAGTAGAGACGGGGCTTCATCATGTTGGCCAGGATAGTCCCGAATTCCTGACCTCAGGTGATCAACTCACCCTGGCCTCCCAAAGTGCTGGGATTACAACAGGCATGAGCCACTGCGCCCGGCCTTCTGTTCAGATTTGAATTAAATTAGGCCAGGTGTTTCTACTAAAACTTAGCTGGACATGGTGGGGGGAACTTGTCATCCCAGCTACTTGAGGCAGGAGAATTGCTTGAACCTGGAAGGAGGAGGTTGCAGTGAGCCGATATCGCGCCACTACACTCCAGCCTGGCGAGAGAGCTAGAATCCATCTTAAAAAACGAATAAAAAAGAAGACAGAGGGCCGGGCGCGGTGGCTCAAGCCTGTAATCCTAGCACTTTGGGAGGCCGAGTGGGTGGATCACGAGGTCAAGAGATCGAGACCATCCTGGTCAACATGGTGAAACCCCGTCTCTACTAAAAATACAAAACATTAGTTGGGCATGGTGGCTCGTGCCTGTAATTCCAGCTACTCAGGAGGCTGAGGCAGGAGAATTGCCTGAACCCAGGAGGCGGAGGTTGCAGTGAGCCGAGATCGCGCCATTGCACTCCAGCCTGGGTAGCAAGAGCAAAACTCCGTCTCAAAAAAAAAAAAAAAAAAAAAAAAAAAAAAGAAGACAGAGGACTAAGACACTAATCTGCTATGTGTAGCAAATTGAGTTTTATGTTTCCTCAGCTATCCAGTGAGTGGGTTGGTTACCTACAAGGGTTTTCCTACCTTTAAAGTTATGGTTAAGTGTGTCTTGAGAATCAGAATTTCAGGTATTTAATTTCCTTATTTTGATGCCTTTTCCCCTTCACATATAAAGAAATATTTGGAAACAGTACTAAATATAGTCTTCTAGGCTCTGTTCAAAATGCTTAATATATTTTATAATTTATCTGTGAGACAATGGCATATTTTAAAATTAATTTCAAAACAAAGGGAAAACTTGAATTTGTTTTATCCCAAGTAAAATTCTGAATTAATGTCTATGTTGAATGTAAATGTGCATTAAAATAAATTCCTCTAATGCTGCATAAGCTCTTTCAAGAAACTTGATGGCATTTAATACAATTATTAGTAAATTACAATTATGCTATTTTAAGAGACACAATACATCTGATAAATTAATATTAACATTTTTACAGAGGCATACTAAAAATAACAAGATTATCAGTAATACTGAAAAGACATCAATAAAACTAAAGACACATTAGTAAACATTAATATACATTAAAATACAATTGTAGAGTATGGTCAACCTTACTTCAGCAGCACAGTTAATACTGGAGATAATTTTAGAATCTTAACGCCAATATTTACGTGCTGCTAAGGCACTGCTGACATTGCTATCATAAGAGCTATGAATAAGAAGAAATATATTTTTTTCAGAAGATCAGATCCTTGTATTTTTGAGGCAGCACAATATGGCCTGCACCTTTTCAAAATCCACAAACCATTATGTGCTGCTACTTTACTCCAAGGTTTTGTTTTGTTTTTTTTTTAAGACACATTAGCACCTAAAGAATGTAAAACATATTTTTTCAGAAAAAAAATGCATACAAAAATATCTCTCTAAACATTATAACACTGATGTAATATGTGTTATCAGTTATTTTTAAGAAGATTTAAAGTAGAATAATAAAACATTTCTACATCAAAAACTTAACTAAAGTCCGTTCTGTGCCCAGCACAGGGCTATCGGTTAGGAAACAAAGAATAAAATGCAGAAAAGAAAAGCATTTATTTGCTATGACAACTTATCAGGGGAATACAATTAAATGTTTAAACTTTTGAATATATTCAATATATTGTTATTTTTCCTAGTATAAACCAAAAAGTAAATTTATAAAATTTGATCTTTACCTTGGTAAAAGCAGAATTTACATTTTGTCCCTTGCAGTACACCTTTCAAAAGACATCTTCATCTTACCTACGACTTCACATCAAGGGAAAAATATGAAATGACACACAAGAGCTCAGTTTCAATAAACTTAAGCTAGCAAAATGCAAATATACTTTTAAAGAAAAATATTTTAATTCTAAATAAACTTAATTTTATTAAATTTCTAATTAAGACATTTAAATTCTAAATGTAGTTAATTAAAAAAAGCTCCAAACAATCCAATTCTCCCTTAGGTAATTTGTTATTAATAATCTAAATATTTTCATTTCATCATTGATCTCCACATTAGAAGGTCTCTTAGAGTTAGAGATAATTTCGTACAGTAACTAATTCTAAAATATGAATCCTTAGGATCATGAGTTAATTTGGTATCCTGAGATGAGAAATCAAACAAATCCTATAGCTCTTGATCTGGTCCATTTACCAGGTAAGAAAGAATACTCCTAAAGTTTCCACTTACTCAGCTGTAGAAATTAAATTCCTTTTCTCTAAAAGTGTCAGAAAATTGCCACCACTCTAGTGGTGCCACCACTCAAGCCTAGACATTCTTTTTGCCCCATTTTCTCATCATTAAAATGGCTATGCTAAAATTACATCTATTACAGAATAGTAAAGTGATGTATACAACCAAAGCATTAAAATTTGCCCCTCCATTCTAATATCTAATTACTTATACAAAGCACAGGGTCACATTTCATATTAATTTTTTCTGAATATTTTTCCCATTAATAAAACCTATCTGTAGCTAATCTCCTATCTAAGCAACCTGGATTTCACATATAACTCTGCTCCTTATTGTCTCAAGTTTCTGCACAACATTTTTTTTGTTTTTTTGTTTTTTTTAAGAGATACAGCAATTTCTGGTATCTTTTAGAGAAAAAAAATTTCATTTCTACATCTGAGTAAGTGGAAACTTTAGGAGTATACTTCCTTACCTGGTAAATGGACCAGACTGGGAGGGAATAGGAAGACCAAGGGCTACAGGATTTATTTCTCATCTCAGGGTACTCTTGCCCAGGCTGGAGTACAGTGTCATGATCGTAGCTTACTGCAACCTTGACCTCCTGGGCTGAAGTGATCCATCCACTGTAGTCTCCCATGTAGCTGGGACTACAAGTGCACGCCACCACGCACGACACTTTACATTTTTGTTTTATTATAGAGACAGGGTCTTGGTATGTTGCCTAGAATGATCTCAAACTCCTGGCCTCAAGCGATCCTCCTGCCTTGGCCTCCCAAAGTCCTAGAATTACAGGCAAGAGCCACCGTGCCTGGCCTGCACAATTTTTAACATGTAATCAAAATAAATCTGCTTGCATTCACTTGAGAAATACATATGTTTGTATTTATCAATTAAATTAAGGAATTGTGCTTCAGGCTCTCCCTCACCGCATACACTTTCCAGATTAAAACTTACACATAATTTTCTTCAAATATAAAAGGTGCCTGTAAATTATTTAACAAATATTTTACTGAATACTTACTATGCCTCAGGCACTATCCCAGTTATTACACTAGTTAGCAGTATACCAGATACACAGTCTCTTTTCAGAAAGAATTTTAAATCATTTAAATTTTAAGACACAAAATTATAAAATAGGATGGGTGAGGTGGCTTACACCTGTAATCCCAGCATTTTGGGAGGCTGAGGTAGGCGGATCACCTGAGGTTGGGAGTTTGAAACCGGCCTGACGAACATGGAGAAACCCCATCTCTACTAAAAATACAAAATTAGCTGGGCATGGTGGTGCATGCCTGTTATCCCAGCTACTCGGGAGGCTGAGGCAAGAGAATTGCTTGAACCCGGGAGGTGGAGGTTGCAGTAAAGCAGAGGTCTCGCCATTACACTCAAGCCTGGGCAACAAGAGCAAAACTCCGTCTCAAAAGAAAAAAATTAAATAAAATAAATAACTATTCAATACCACATATTTTTCTTTGTCCCTGAATAGTCAATGTAGACATCAAATAATTATTCTAAACATTAAGTGATTATTCCAAATTCAAGAAGAAATCACCTGGGTTATTTCATTTCCAATCCTTTTTTGTATGAAGTCCATATATTTTCAACTAAGCCAAGAGTGCTAAACTTGACAGAAACATTAAATATTCACCTATTTAAAAAAAATTTCACAGCAACGATATTCTCACTTATTACACTTGACCTGTGGAGTCTCACTCTGTTGTCCACACTGAAATGCAGCAGCATGATCTCAGCTCACTGTAACTGCTGCCTCCTGGGTTCAAAAGGTTCTCTTGCCTCAGCCTCCTGGATAGTTGGGATTACCGGGGTGTGCCACCATGTTGAGCTAATTTTTTTTGGTATTTCTAGTAGAGATGAGGCTTCACCATGCTGGTCAGCCTGGTCTTGAACTCCTGATCTCAAATGATCTGCCTGCCTCAGGCTCCCAAAGTGCTGGAATTATATGCCTCAGCCAGCTACATTTGACTCTTGAACAACGTGGGTTTGAACTGCACAGGAATACTTATATATGAATTTTTTAAATATACTGAAAAATGTTTGTAACAATTTGAAAAAACTCGCAGATGAACTGCATAGCCTAGAAATAGCTAAAAAATTAAGAAAAACATGTCACTATTGTGTAAGATATATGTATGTAGATTCTAGTCTATTTTACAATGTGCTCTCATAAAATATATACAAATTATGAGTTAAAATTTATCAAAACTTACAGACTGTACATACTGCTATTTGCAGGACAGAAACAAACATAAGATGCAGTATTAAATAACTGACTAAAATTATAGTTCATACAATACTACCACAATAATTTCGGAGTCACCTGTTATTGTGGTGAGCTCGAGTATCTGCTTAAAATACTCTGTGATACTAATCATCTCAGTGTTAGCAGTTTTTTCAGTAAATTGCATATTGCAGTAAAAAGTGATCTCATCTATTTTTCATTGTGTTTAATGCAATAGTGTAAACCATGAATAAAACTATGAGACCCAAATGAAGTGCCACTGGTGATGCTGAAAAGTGCTTCCAAAAAGCTGAGAAAGGTTATGACATTACAAGAAAAAGTTAAATTGCTTTGTATGTTCTGTAGATTGAGGTCTATAGCCACAGTTGCCATTTCAAGATAAATGAATCCAGTGTGATCATTGTAAAAAAAAAAAAAAAAAAAAAGGTGGGGGGGAGCGGGGATTTATGTAGCCATGCTGCAGCTACACAAGCAGTAACAAAAAACTTGCACTTTTTGTGAAACATTTTACTTCATATTAAAAATGCAGCTTTTATGTAGGTGTAGGATTGTTATAAAAAAGGCGTACCTATAGACTCTTATGATTTGAGAAACAGTAAAGTCATTATAAGACTGCTTTAAAGTAAAGGAAAGTCAAGGATCTTAAGCTGAAGAATTTAGTGCCAGCGAAGGATGGTTTGAGTTTCAGAAAGACGTTTGGTTTTAAAAATGTCAAGGTAACAGGAGAAACAGCTTTCAGGCAGATGAGTTCCTAGACACCACTAAGAAAATCGGTGGGGAGAAAGGATATCTGCCTGGACAGGTTTTTAATGCTGATATATGTGCCCTATTCTGGAAGAAAATGCCACAAAGGACATTATGAGTAAGGAAGAGAAGCAAGCACCAGGATTTAAGGCAGGACGGGATAGGCAAACTATACTGTTTTGTGCAAATGCAGTAAGGTTTGCTGCCCTTAGCCATAAAGCTGCGAATCCCTGAGCCTCAAAGGGAAAACAAAAACCGGCAGCCAGTCTTTTGGTTGTACAACAAGAAGGTGTAGACAATGAGAATGCTTTTTCTGGACTGGTTCCACCAATGCTTTGTTCCCAAAGTGAGGAAGTACCTCGCCAATAAGAGACTGCCTTTTAAAATTCTTTTGATATTGGACAAAGCTCCTGGCCACACAGAACCACAAGTTTAACACCAAAGGCACTGAGGTGGTCTACATTCCCCGACACAATGTCTCTATTTCATCCTCTGTATCAGGGTCATAAGGATCTTTACAGCTCATTATACACAGTACTTTGTGGAAATGACTATCAGTGCTGTGGAAGAGAACCTTGATAGAATATCATGAAAGTCTGGAAGAATTATACCACCAATTATGCTACTGTTGTTACAGAAAAAGCTGTGAAAGCCATCAAGTCTGAAACACATTCCTGGAGAAAACTGTGTCCAGATGTTGTGTATGACTTCATAGGATTTATGAGCGAGACAATCAGATATCATGAAAGAGACTGCGGATACGACAAAAAAAGGTGTGGTGGGGGAGGGGCAAAGGGTTTCAAGAAATGGATTGAGAAATTCAACAGCTAACAGACACCAGAGGAATTAACAGACGAGGTGACTGCTTCTGAACCAGTGCCAGATGATGAGGAAGACAACATAGAAGAAGCAGTGCCAGAAGACAATCTGACATTAGACAGTCTGGCAGAAGGGTTGCAATTATTAAAGACTAATTTTGATTTCTATAACATGGGCACTGAAACTAAAGCACAAGGTGGACAGAGAATTGGTAACCTACAAAAACATTTTTCAGAAAAGTAAAAAAGCAAAACTCAGACAAAAATTACGATGTATTTCTGTAAAGTTACACCAAGTATGCCTGGCCTTTCCTGTCTCCTCTCCCACCTCCTCCACCTCTTCCACCCCAGAGACAGCAAAACCAACCCCTCTTCTTCTTCCTCAGCCTGCTCAATGTGAAAACAGTGAAGATGAAGGCCTGTATGATGATCCACTTCCATTTAATTTTTTCTTTTTGTTATTATTTTCCTAATATTTTGTCTAGCTTACTTTAATATGGTATATAATACATATACCGTACAGAATACGTGTTATTGACATTATGTTATTGTCAAGGCTTCTGGTCAACAGGAGGTTATCAGTAGTTGAGTTTTAGGGAAGCCAAAACTTAAAGATTTTCAACTGTATGAGGGTTGGCACCTCTCATCTTTACATTGTTCAAGAGTCAACTGTATTTTTAAAATTGTGGTTTAATATACATAAATTTCTATTTTTAAAATTGTGGTTTAATATACATAAATTTCACCA